GGTTGACTTACTGGAGTTTTTTTGAGGAGTAAAGTGGATGTCTTGTGTTACACCGAAGCAACCATTTCCCCAGAACGTACAGCAAAAATATATTGCCAAAAACACAGACCAGTAAAAATGCAATAATATCGATGCCAAAATATTTGATTGTGTTGAAACGATCGCCGTGCACGCGGAGCTCTGGAAGTGCGCCAAATTCAATAACAAATTCAGTCCATTTCACGAGCTGTTCCTCGGGCTTGTTTGGTTTCATCCGGATCATCCTTGATAAGCGCCGTGCCGCTGCGGAGTATCTCAAGAAGCAAAGTATTTTTTTACTAAAGCTACATAAGAAAATATTGCAATGCGTTACGCGAAAATGGCGTCGTGAGCGCACATTGTAGTGTGTTCGGTCATATTATAATTAATTACTTGTACTTGACGTTTATAAACGAAGCGAGAGAAATTACTTATAATAATGCGATGGTTCGCTGGCGACAGACACAAGGCGATCAAAATTGGGCTGGCTGCATAAAAGATTCCGGACAGATTTAGATATTTTTGACAATTTGTAGGGCAATGGCTTCAAAATGGTATAATAAAGTCCTCTACATATAGCCCTTGTTGCAAGTAAAGTGGTATAGGAGCTCAAGCATAGCTTTTACTTCTCTTGAACAGCTCCTCTTACTTCACGTAGTATGCGTTTGCTTGTTTAAAGATCAACCGAACGATCGACATCCTGTGAGTATTACTTACTGATAGCGACGTCTACGGACTGTCGTAAAGTTATTGACGCTTTTAATAAACTGGTGTTTTCATTCACTATCATGATGGCATCGCCACCCTGCACAGAGGGAGAAACACTACATTCTCACTGGGGGATAAGACATCTCAGTTCGACCACGCATATAGCGCTGCGCAGCTAAAACGCATAAAATGTCGAGAATCTATGATCGGGATGAATTGGATTGGATGAAGAGTGTGTGCCGTCCTTAAAAGTTTGACATGGAACTCGAGAATCTTTATAGCCCTATTTACCTGAAACAAACAAGACCACAAATAACGAGCTGGGTACGAATTTAAGCAGGGGAAGAATAAGTGATTACTATTTTACAAGGACTTTTCCAACGCTAACATGGAATCGAATGCAAAACTGATGTTCTTATCATGATCTGTGCCTATATTGTTGTAACCATGCTATAGCGCTGCTACAGCCAGCAAAGACGCATATTATCGAGAGGCTGTCTGTGTGTGTGTGCATGTGGGTGTGCGTGTGTGTGTGTTCGGAAAGCAAGTGCATTTTGTCACCCACTTTCATCTCAGCAACCAGGCAAGCTGGGAGGCTGAAACTTTGGATATATGTTCCTATCCCGCGTGTCATCCGCACGTTTTAAGTTCTTTCCCATACGCGTCTAGACCCCGCGTACGGGACTTACAAAGAAATATGTTGGCATGAAACGATTTTGCGAAGCAGGCAATGTAGAAAGCTGTCCTTTGCAGGGATATTCTCTACGCAGGTACGCACTAAAGATTTTAAACTTAGCTCTCTAGCTTCCCAACCACAGCCTCAAGCGGCTCCTCAACCTAAAAATCGTTAGCAACTCGGACCTGAACCGCAATTGTGTATGCAAATGAACATGGATTTTTTGAAA